GGGATATGGACAGCTCTGGTAGGTATAGATCGTAGATAATTAGTCTAAGCCACTGTTCTATTAATTGTTGTATAAATATATGTAATTAATATACATATATACTTAATAAATAACATGAGACAAAATCTCACCTTAAAAAAAAAAAAAAATAAAAAAATAAAATATTTGTAATATTTATTATTAAATTTAATAAAAAAATTTTTAAAATCTGACTCAGAGAAATTGAAAATTATAAAAGTGTTTATAGAGAATATTTTTAAAATAAACATGGCTTCAAATTGGCAAGGAAAATTTAAAAACTTTGAAGTTATTACAAATTGGGAAAAATACAAAAATCCCGATAAACCAAGACTCAAACTAAATAAATATCGCTTAGTTAAAATCAACTTTAAGCTCTATCTCGAAGTTAAAACTCAAAAACCAGAAATTACATTTCTTACAGATTTAAAATATTTTAATTTAATCAAAAACTATACATGGTATTATCAAACCCCAAATATTAAAACTTATAATTATACATATTATATTAAAACAAATTTTAAAAATAAATCTATTAAATTTTATCGAATAATTTATTCTAAATGGAAAATGATAGATCACATTAATAGAAATGGACTTGATAATCGTGAATGTAATCTTAAAGAAACAACAGCAAGAGAAAATGCTTTAAACTGTAAAATTCATAAAAATAATACTTCTAATTTTAATAGTATTATTGTAAGCAAATTTGGAAAATATGTATATTGGATATTTCGATAGTATGAAAATAAAAAACATAAAGAGAAATATTTTAAAACTAAACAAGAAGCAATAGATTTTAAACTAAAACATAATCAAATTTTAGGAAATAAAAATGGTTATAATATTTAATATTTATAATTTATTTTGTTTTATTGTATTCAAAAATTCTTTTCAAAGATTGTCTTTGTACTTTCGGCGCTATAAAAATTCTTTTAAAAATAGTTCAAGAATTTCTTTGTTTCTATCTTTAGAAGAAATAATTTTTTTTAAACCAGACCTAATAATACATATATTAAATAGTATTTATTAATATAAAATAAATAAATTATTAAAAATATAATATATTTTTACCAAGTTCCTTCAATATGATTTGTGTGAATTCGCATTTTTAATTGAGATCTATTAATTTGTGAGTGGTTTACATGTTTATGTTTCATATTTAATTTTTCTAAATTTGAATATGCTTTTCATAAATCAGAGTAAATTGTTGCACCAGGTTCAACATGTTTTTTGATTATTTTAGTTAAAGTTGAAGTATCATGTTTTTTTACAATTTCAAAAAAACATTTCTTTTCTATTGTTCTTTCAACAGCACCAACTACCCAATAATCTTTGTCTTTTTTGAATTTTGATTTATCAATCTCTATGATTATATCATTTCCTCCTATAGTTTCATTATTATTTGTTAAAGTATTTATTACTAATTTATGAAAAATTTTTGTAAATTTAACTATAGTTTGTGGTAAATAACCTGTTAAAAATTTTATTGTTGTATAAAAAGCTTTTGATAACCAGAAATACCCAAGTAATAAAATTTTATGTATTTCAATATGACGTTTAGCAAAAAATGTATTT